AAAAAAAAAAAGGTGAAGAAAGAGAAACATTAAGTTAGGTAGTTAATCACTTTAAGTATTCATAATCTTCCACAGCACCTGCACAAACTATGCATGACGTGGCCCCTGTCTACCTCTCATCTTTGTCTCACATTTCTCTCTCTCTCTGTCATTCATTAGCTCAGATGGCTCTTTCCTGCCCTTTCACATGCTGTTCTCACCCATTGTGTCTTCTTTCTGACTTCAACAACACTTTAGGGAGACTTTTCCTGAACACTCCTCCATGTAAATTAAATGCCCTTGGTCTTTCTCATAGAACTCACCATAATTTATAATTATATACTTACTTTTATTGTTGTTGTTGTTTGCATTCAAGCCTGTTTTACCCACAATGTTTCTATACTCTGAAGGCATAAACTGTGTCTATTATATTCACCATTTCATCCACAGCCCCTGTGCAGTAGGGGCGTGCAATGAATATTTAATGAAACAATGAATCAATCACCACAACTATTAATGGCATATTAGTAGGCTAGCTATCTACAGGCTCTGTCTGCGGATTATGGGCAATTCCTACTCCTGAAGAGTTTAATAAGAGCATTGCTGTCATAGGGATAACTTAGCCATGCTCTAACTTATAAGAAATATAATCTTCAGTACTCTAACACTGTTAGCATACATTATTGCTACACATGGTATGTCTGTCCACAATGGCCGTTGTCTGGCTACCAGACATTTCTTCTTTGTTTGGCTACCTGAGGTTTCTTCCCAAGGCATACAACTCATCATGTAATTCTCCTGCTTCTGAATATTCAGTGGGTTCCCATTGTTTTCAAGATAAAGTCCAAATTATTTGGCATGTCTAACAAAGTCATTCTCAAGCTGGGCCTGGCCATTCTTTCCAACCTCAGCCCCAGCCAGTCTTGACCATAGGCCATGATCAAACAAGGTTCTTTCATACTTTTGCCTATACCAGAAATGTCCCACTTTTGTTCCTAGATGGATGTCTTTTTGCTTTTTAAAATCTCTTAAGCACTTTAGTTACCTCTTCCTCTGTGTTCCCATTATGTAAGTATATCCTCTTAATTGTAAAATTTACCTCATATTCTATGATAATTTATTGGAATGACTATCTCCCAGACTAGATGGTATAACTCCTGGATTAGATTGTGTATCCCCAGTGTCCAGCCCAATACATAACCATATAGTGGAACATAATAATGTTTGGGTGACTGAATTATTGGCAATTGTTTGGAAGTAAAAATGTCATTACCTACTGAAGCAATGTTATAAATGGTGCTTTCTCATCTGACTCAAAAAAAGCCTATGTAAGCCATAATGCAACTGAACCATATTGCTAATATTCATTTTTCTTCTAATATTAGAATATGTTCACTTTCTACTCTACTGTAATTGAGGAACCCTGACAGGTGGCAGAGGTCATTTCTAAACTTTTTTCTTTGGTTTCTCATTGCCTTAGAAGGAGAGACCAAAGGAAGAACTCTTCTTTTCTTCCTTCCTCCCTCCCTCCCTTCCTTCCTTCCTTCCTTCCTTCCTTCCTTCCTTCCTTCCTTCCTTCC